TGGGCATGTTGAGGCGCACTGCAGCGACCCAGAAGATAAAGTTGTCGAGGTACAATACTTTCGACGGGTATTCAGAGAAAATGTCTACCCGCGTAACTTCGTCAACCTGAGCCTACGCAAACGAGATGGCCAACAAAGTCGCACCGACCCCAAAATTTGGCGAGCGATTCCTTACGTCAAAAACGTCTCGGAAGCTGTCGGCCGCTTTCTCCCACCACTTGGAGTTGGAATCGCACACAGGCGGAAGGCAACCATAAGGCGTCAGATAATGAAACTGACAGACCCACTGCCACGGCAAGAATTATCTAGAGTCGTCTACAGGACCTGATGCAGTTGCGGGCAAAGCTATTATGTTGGAGAAACTGGCAGGCTTCTCAAGACGCGAATTGCCGACCACGCGGCAGCAGTGGAGCGAAATGATACCAATTCTCAAGTTGCGGCTCATTCGACGAAACCCGGCCACACATTCAACTTTGATGAGGCCGAAATTCTGGCAAGAGGTGACAACTGGGTGAGCTGAGAATTACTTGAATCATGGTTCACGGGCCCCCAATCCATCAACAAGTGCAACGATTTGCTCAATCCATATTCAATGCTGAGACTCAATTTGGCCAAAGCAAGTAACCGCTTGGGGAACGGACAGGCCATCGCCTCATCCTATACTAGTACCGGGGGCCAGATGACCGGGCAATCATCACATCCGAGTCCACCACGCGTGATGAAAGTTGAGCAGGTCAGAGCCCGCATGCCGTTCAAAAGACCACCAACACACAAGCAGGCAATTACGGTTAATTGTCGTCGTATGTTTGCAGTAATAACTGCATCCTATAAATACTGAAAACGCCTGTGCGTCCGCTACCCTATCTGCTATTGCTCTCTGACTATGTATCTGATGACGAATCCTTGACGGATATCGAAAAGTCAGTCGAATAAAAGCATTGTCCCAGCAATCGGGCCGTCTTCTTCTCGGTTACAGGTTAATTCTAGTATGCATGCGGATGGCCTCTACGAACTATAAACAGCGCGCAACCTATGCATGTATCACCCTTATTTGTGTATTTTTCACCCTATTATACGGTTACCTATGATTAAGGATTCTCGACAGAATCCGAAACGTCAGGCCAATGAAAGGATTGTTCCAGCGATCGCAGTTTCTATTACTTAAGTGTTTCCACATCTTCGGAGCTCTTATCCCCCGAGAATCTGGCGAAGGTTATCTCAGCTTTGTCATGTCACTAGCAGGTAAAGCAAATGGAGCTTTTGTAGCAACAACTGAATTCTTTGAAACCAGCAGACAATAGAAGTTCGGACTTGGTCCGCAACCTTTCGTGCAAATAGCTAACAGAACAGCAATTACGCGTGCTACGACGCGAAGCTTGGTTTAATATTGCCGATGCGGACCCAGTTGACTTCATTGCAGCACTAGAAGCTAGGCCAGTGAGAAATGAAACAACCGACGACACAAAACACTCAGTCGCACAACGTGCAGTCTCCTTGTTGATTCCTCATAAAACAACCCTGTGCATTTTGCTGAGTTAAAGGCTGTGAAGGACCTGAAGAAAGCCAAAGATATTATCATCTTGCCTGCTAATAAGGGACTTTCGACTGTCGTGATGAATTGACAAGACTACACTAAGAAAAATAAGGTTCTTCTTAACGACAGAGAGTTTTACAGACCACCACTGAACTCAAACGCCAAAGTCGTATCAAACGGACTGACTAAACTAGTCAGAGAATGGCGGCGCAAGAATGCGATCCCGAAGAAGCAGTGACGCTAAATCAAAGTAACGGATACCGCTCTGTCTCGATTTTATGGCCTGTCAAGTATTTACAAACCAAATGTCCTACTGCAGCCAATACTTGTCCTTAAAGGCAGCCCTACCTGTAATTTGGCCAAGGGGATGTGCAGAAAAATGAAATTCCTCCAAGGGAAATTGCCTCTCTCAGTTCGATCAGCCTCTTGAGTTCTTGAAGACCTTCGAGGTTGGGTAATTCAATCGGACGAAATAATGGCCTATTTCAATGTGGATTCGTTATTCACATCGGCCCTACGTATTCTGGTGCAAGAGACGCAAGGAGGCCTATGGCGAGGCTCGTAGCCCACTGAAGATTGCGCACCTCATGATGTTATTCGAATTTTGCCAAAAAGCGTACTTTATCTTTGCTAGAAAATCCTATGAACAGATGAAAAGATCTCTAATGGGCTCCCCGATCTCCGGTCTAATAGCAGAATTGGTCCTACATGACCTAGAAAACACTGGGTTTACTCAACATGAGCCTGTCTTTTGGCACCGTTACGCTGACGACACATTTGTTATGATAAAGACCATACTTCGAAACTTCTATAACTTGCCCAATGGAATATTTCCTTACATCAAATTCACGAGCGAAGAAAAACAACAGCAGCAGCTGCCTTTCCCCGATGCCTCCGTCATAAGAACGCTCAATTATGAAATTGACACGACAATTTACACGGAGCCAACGAACTTAATACAACTTCTCAGTTTTCACAGCACCATCCGGTTGCTCATAAACGAAGCTGTGTCAGAAGGTTCTTTAAACGGATTCCGGTTCACTGTAGTAGGCCGAAGGAAAAGGCATGCAAGGTCTGATATCTCCGCGATCAACTTATGCAAAATGAATTTCCGAATGCGTTTATAAGCCAATGCCTACGCGTTTGGCCCCGGAGAACCTAAACAGAAGAACCACTGAGGGTGTGGCATGCACTGAGCGTGGAACTGGGTGTTAATATTGCACACCGAACTAAAACTACCATGCGTAGCAGGGCGATTAAAATCAAAAACCGACTTAGTCCCAATAAACAATATTGGGTAGTGTTTCGCATCCCACGTCTAACCTGTCCTTCTAAGTACGCAGACCAAACTGAAGGAACACGCAGGTCGCGCATACATGAAAATAAGGCGGCTGTACAACAAGGCCCCGATTTGGCAAGTTGCAGCTCACACCTATGAAACAAGCCATGAGTTCAACTTCGCAGCCATCAAGATATTCACCCAACACCGGAAACGTGACGAGTGGAGAACTGATTGAAGTCTGTTCCCTGGACGGAACCTCAATCAACCGATATATCCAATTGGTGCCGGCGTACAGAGTCTTGCGCAGTTATGTGTAGTCACATCCAGAAGTCTGTCACTAAGAGTTAATTGGCACAGCCCTCTATAATTGTTCCCACTTACATTTTTGATTTTCACCTTTGATAGCCCCTGACTTCACTGACAGTTAATTTACATTTAGTCCCTATAC